ATCGTCATCATCAGCATCAGCATCATCATCATCATTATCATCATCATCATCATCATCAGCATCATAATCAGCATCATCATCATCATCAACATCATCATCATCAGCAGCAGTATAATCATCATCATCATTGTCATCATCATCGTCATCATCAGCAGCAGCAGAAGCATCATCCATCATCATCCTCATCATCATCAGCAGCAGCAGCATCAGCATCAGCATCATCATCGTCATCGTCATCATCAGCAGCATCATCAGCAGCAGCATCAGCATCAGCATCATCATCATTAGCATAATCCCCAGCAACATCATCATCATCAGCAGCATCATCAATATCATCATGATAATCATCAGCATCATCATCATCATCAACATCAGCAGCAGCATCAACATCATCATCATCATCATCATCATCATCATCATCATCATCATCATCATTAGCATAATCAACATCATCAGCATCATCAGCATCAGTATCAGCATCATCATCAGCATCATCATCAACATCATCAGTATCATCTGCATCATCAGCATCATCAGCATCAGCATCATCAGCATTGGCATCAGCATCATAGCATCATCATTAGCATCCTCAGCATCATCAGCATCATAAGCATCATCGGCAACATCAGCATCAGCATCAGCATCAGCATCAGCATCAGCATCAGCATCAGCATCATAATCATCAGCATCATCAGCAGCAGCATCAACATCATCAGCATCATCAGCATCATCGGCATCATCATCATCAACGGGCGATTTCAATGGGCGTCACCCCAACATATTGATCCTATGTGTGCGTCGCCCCCCACCCCTGGGGCGGCGCGCGCACAGAGAAATCTTATAGTATATGCGTCGCGGCGGGCGTTTTCTGACCAAACCGCTCGGAAAACTATATACTACAAGATGGTTGTACTATATGTTCGGGTCGTATGCGCGCCTGCAAGGAGGACAGATAGTACGAGTATGTCTTTGTCCGTCCCATTGAAGGGCCCTTAACTTCGCGTTTCGCGCTGCGCGGTGCGCGAAGCACGAATCACTTCGCCCTCTCGCGCCGCCCCCCCGGTGGAAAAGAAAAGGACGTGGAGGAATCGGAGCCGAACCGCGAAGCGCGAAGCGCGAATACTTCGCGCCCTCGAGGGCCCCTTGGCGATGCGGCAACCCGCCTTGGCAAAAAAAACGCGGCAGCGTCCTAGGGTTCCGGACAGCCGAAGCCCATGCAAGACGGAGCCAGGACGAGGGCAAAATCGGGCGAGGAGACATCGATAATCTCTGAGATCCAGCGGCTATGGAGGAGTTCTCGGGCGCCGCGGCCTTCTCTGAGTGTTCTGGGACGTTCTGAGAGCGTTCCGGAAAGCTCTGGAACGGACTTATCCTCGTCCTACAGCCAGGCTTGCTCGGACAGGACACTCGAGAGGGCCCCAGACCCCTTCCGAGGGCCACACCGCCACAGAAATGCAGCAGGCATGGGTCGCGAGACACAGGACGCAAGGGCACCTTTGACTTGACGAACGAACAACACACACACACACATACCCCTAGGGGGGTCGCAGAGAGCTATGGGTGCGTGTTGTCGGATGGGGGTCCCCGCTCGAACGGGAGCGCCCCCCAGGGCACGACAACCCGCACCCATACCCACAGCTTCGCTCAATCAGGGCCGACTGTGGCCCCGCCTGGCCATGTCCTGGCCACCCCCCGGCGCAGGGCGCCGAGAGGCGGCGCGGCGGGCACTCGCCATGCCCAGCAGGCGGCAGCGCGCGCAGGCGGGGTGCCGCACCCACGGCGGCGACCGCCCCGCCAAACGCACTGCACGTCGCAGCGCGGCAGGGGCAGTGCGCACGCGCGCATGGCACTGCGAGCTGCCCGGATGCAGGAGGGGAAGGAGGGGGAGGAGAGGAGCGGCCGCGGGCGGAGGGCAAGGAGCCCATGCGCTCACGCATCGGGGACCGCAGCGGGGCGCCCAGGGCGGCCACCCGCCTGCCAAGCACGGGAGCGGGGGCCCGCGGACGCCGAGCGGGCGCGGCGCTGGCCGGCGCGGCTCGCACCAGCAGCGCCCGAGAGAGACGCGGGCGGGGGCCCCCACGGCCCCTCCCGCCGTGCTGCTCGCCTCCCGCTCGCCACCGCTCAAAAGGAAGTGGGGGGTGGCGTCTGGCACCAGGCAGTGGCGGCGGGTGCAGGCGCAACCCACAACCAAGGACGGGCGGCGGGAGGGCACCACAAAGCCAAGAGTGCCACCGAGGTGGGTGCGACGGCACCCCGCAAGAGACCAAAACCGAGGCACGCCGCGCGCGGGAGCAGCACGCGCGCATGCCGTGCGCAAGACCGCCACCTAACCGAAAGACGCGATCCACAACCTCCACGCGGGGCAATCCGCTCACTCCCCGAAGCCGAGGTCCTCGGGCACGGCCAACGGGCACGCCCCCGAGGTGCCACGCGAGAAAATCCGAAACGCCACTCCTTTCAAAGGAAAGGCGGGCTAACGGGCGCTGGCGCTTGCCGCTGGGCGCCGGGGAGCGGGGCTGGCGGTCGCCTCTGTCCTCGCCCCCTCGTGCGGCCTCCACCCGCGCGCATGGTGCCGCCCTGGCCACCGCCACCCGCGGGGCAGCTGGACGTGGCCGCGACGAGGTCAGATCCCAACGGGACGGGTCAGATCCCAACAGCTCAAGAGACGAAACGGTTCAGATTCCAACGAGCGGAGGAGCTTCGCTCAAAGTTGTTACTGCGTGATCAGATTGGCCATGACAACCGATTGGCATGCCTGAAAGGAATTCACTCGGTGTTCATCGTGCGCAGTTGGAATGAATCTCTACCGTTCCACAGCCTATGATATGGGAGTTCAAGATACTCCACGACAGCCAAGTATGGGCCCAAAGCACTGCAAGACAACCGTCAGATTGCTCACAAGGCCCCTAAGATGGAATCGAATCCTTCCAAAATCCTCTGGATCCTCGGGAATCGTCTTGGAAGCCTCAGGTATCCTTCAAGAATTCTCCAGGAATCCTTCAGGAATCCCCCAGGCATCCGTCAGGAATCCTTCACGAATCCTCCAGGAATCCGCAGGAACCTTCGATGAATCCTTCGGGAATTCGTCAAGAATCATGATAAGGAAACTTTCAGGAATCCTTTCGAGATCCATCAGGAATCCTCAAGGAATCCTCCAGAATCCTAAAAAACCTTAGGGATCCTCCAGAATCCTCTGGAATCATGAGCACTGGGCCTTTGCCGAGTGGCCGGAGCATTCTGAAGGCCCCCAGCCCAATGAAATGTAGTCGATTCAATCCTCGCCCCTCCTTCGTCGCCACGCAAGACTCGGCCTGCGCACTGCGGTGTCGGTGCGCCGCGCGCCGCGCCGCGTTGCGCCGTGCCGCACAGAGCCGCGCAGAATGCCGCGTCTGCGCCGCGCGCCGCCGTCCCGCGCCGCGCCGAGCGCCGCGTCGCGAGCCGCACCGCGGCCGCGTCGCGGGCGCCGCCCGCGCCCGGGGCGGGGCGCCAGCTACCAGCGACCTCAGCAACATTGTCGGGCAGGCCGCGTCCTGTCGGCTGATGTGGCTCGCGCTTGCAGCACGTCGTCCATTCGAGCTCTCCGCGCCCTGGCGGGTGGCCAGCGTCGCGAGCTTACAGCGCGTTCCAAAAGCCCCCCGCTTCCCCGAGTCGCTCGGGGAGACGAGCTGCACCAGCGGCCCCGCCCGCCCGAAGCGACGCGCCACCGCGTCTTGCCGACGGTCGGCGCGACGACGCGCGTGGCGACAAGGAACGGGCCAGGGGGGCCCCTTGGGAACCCTCAGGCATCTCTAAGAACCTCAGGAATCCTTCGGGAAGCCTGAAGAATCCTCCAAGAATTCATAAAGAATCCTCCCGGAATCCGCAGGAAACCCGAAAAATCTGAAAGAATTCAGGGGGATCCTGAAGAATCTTTTCCGGCAATCATCCAGAATCCACTGAAATCAAAAGGAGTCCTCAGAAACCCTTAGGGACGGTGACAAATCCGAAGGAATCCTTCAGAAATCCTCCGGGGCCCCCAAGAACCCTCTTAGGAATCCTTGGGGATCCTTCCGGAATCCGCAAGAATCCTGAGGAGTCTCGAAGAATCCTTCAGAAATCCTTCAGGGATCCTTTACGAATCACCCAGGAATCCCCCTGAAATCCTCCAGGAATCCTAAGGAATCCGTATGAATCGTACAGAATCCTTCGGGATCCTTTTGGGAATCTTCAGGAATCAATCCGTCAAGAATCCTTCGGAGTCCTTTTGGAATCCCCCAGGGATCCCCAGGAACCCTCAAGAATCCTGCAGGAATCCTTCAGGAGTACTCAGGGATCCCCCAGGAATCCTTCAAGAATCCTTCAGGAATCCCCTGGAATCCTCAGGAATTCCAAGGAATCCTCCGAAACCCCCCAAAATAGATAGGGAATCCTCTGGAATTTGTCACGAAGCCGAGGCGCCCAGGAGGCGCCTTCTAGGAGGCGCCTACAAAGCACCTGGAAGCCGCAATAAGCTTCGCCAGAAATTCTAAACCGCTCAAGTGTCTAGCTCGTTCGGATCTGACCCAGTTTGCTGGGATCAGACCTGTCCCGTTGGGATCTGACCTTTTCTCAAGCTTGGCCCTCTGCCCCCGCCAGCGCTTCCCACCGCGCGGCGGGAGCGGCCACGCGCCTTCGCCCCCGCATTGTCGGCGCGCGCCCAGGGGCGGTGGCCCAGCCCTCGCGTCGACGCCACTGTCCTCCTCGCTGGACTGGCCGGCCTCGACGGCCGATGGGCCACCGCCGCGGGCGCTCGCCTCGCCAGGGCTTGCGTCCTCCTCCTCCGCTACTTCCTCCTCGTCTTCGAACCCCTCGGGGTACGGGCCAGAGTCACAGGCGCCGCCTCCTCCTGCCTCTCCGTCTGCCGCTTAAACACGAACTCGCCCGCCGCCCTCAGCTGGTGGCACTTGTCGCAGAGGTCGCACTGTCACCTCGTGCAATTCCACCGTACGTAGCCCGCAGCGCGAGTGGCCCCCTGACACAGATTAGCACCGGGCGGTCGGGGCACTGCGGCCCCATCGGGCGCGGCCAAACCGACCCTCCTCTGGGCGACCCCCTGACAGGCGTGCGCCGTCCAGTCGCGCGCTGGGCTGGGGGGGGGCGCGCCGCAGCGCGGGCGTGCTCAGCCAGACGGACGATCTGAGCATGGCCGGCCGCCGCAGACTGGTCCACGCGCATGGGGCGGGCGCAGGCGCATCCTGGTGAGCGGCAAAGGTGCACTGTACACAGGGACGTGAGGTCCTGGCGCCATTTAAGGCTGGTGCAATTGAGCACCCCCGCTCAGCCGAACGGTCAGCCCGATCACTCGGGCCACGTGCCCGTTCTACCTCAGTAGGAGGCGGTTGGGCTGCCGTTCAGCGCCGCGACACCGCACGCATTTCTGGCAATAGCTGGCGCCCGTGCCACCTCCGATCCCTGGCCCACGCCAGCAGACATGAAGTGGAGGCGGCGGCGGCGGAGGGAAGTGCGCGGCTGGCCCAGGGAGGGCGCACTGGCAGCACAGAGTAAGCTGCCGCCATGCCCAGCGAAGGCCCCGCCCAATTCACAGGACGGGCACCCGAGCGGCGTTGATACAGTAGGTCAACATACCCAACAGGAAAAATTGCCATCCCAAGACAGCACGTGGCCGTGCTCCACTGCTAGTGGCCCAAAACTGGTGCCCCCAAACCCGTCGACCATCCGCCCGAACCACACCCAATCGGTGGAGAACGAGCCTGCACGGTTCGGGGTGCTGAACCAGTCCGAGAACCCTCCGAGCTCCCATGCCCATCGAACGTAGCTCCAGCGGCCCTCATATCCGTATGGCGGCGGTCCCTGTGGCAGGGGCGCGGGCCCCGGTAGGTGTTGGCACGGTCCTCGCTCGAACCCATCCAAGGCCCCAAGCAGGCATCCATGCCCGCCACCCCTCGACTCCCTAGCCCCAGTCGGTCCCCAGCGGCGCGCTTCAGGCCTCCCGTAGAACATCGGAAACAACCGACTGGCCGCTGGCCTCGAGCCACGAGGAGGAGGCGGAGGATGAGGAGGAGGAGGGAGGGGGGGAGGGAGGGAGGGAGGGAGGGAGGGAGGGAGGGAGGAGGAGGAGGAGGGGGAGGAGGGGACCACCGCCCTGACCATTCCCAGCACCCACAGCTCCAGCACAACCTGCACAGCCAGGTCTGCTGCTGGGGGCAATATTGGAATCATCTTCGGCAGCCTCTGGGTCCACGCGGGCCGTTTCCCAGGCCTCTTGGGCCATCTTGCCACACTCGATGTGGGGTCGGGGCCGCGGCCTGGAAGGGCCCGGCTCAGGTCCCCCATGTCACATCCATCTGAAGCCCGCCTGACACCTCCTCCCCGTTTTCCTTTTCCTCCGCGCTTCCGCGGAGCACCTGAAATTGGAGAAGATGGCGTCGGCATTGACTATCAGGAAGATGGTGCCTCCATCCAAGACGAGATGCACACGGAACGAAAGCCCGCCGCGCTTGTTCAAAGCCACCAGAACTTGTGCTGGACACTTTCATCCTCATCCTGCTCCTCCTCCTCCTCCTCCGTCCCCTCCCTCCCTCCCTCTGTCCCTCCCTCCCCCCCTCCCTCCCTCCCTCCCTCCCTCCCTCCCTCCTTCCCTCCCCCTCCCTCCTCCCTCCCTCCCTCCCTCCCTCCCTCCCTCCTCCTCCTCCGCCTCCTCCTCCTCCTCCTCCTCCTCCTCCTCCTCCTCCTCCTCCTCCTCCTCCTCCGACTCCTCCTCCTCCTCCAACTCTCCTCCTCCTCCTCATCCTCCTCATCCCCCTCCTCCTCCTACTCCTCCTCCTCCCTCCTCCTCCTCCTCCTCCTCCTCCTCCTCCTCCTCCTCCTGCTCCTCCTACTCCTCCTACTCCTCCCCATCCAGCCTCCATTCTCTCACCCCTCCTCCTCCGTCGCCTCGGAGCAGCTGAAGGATCATCGAAGCGGGGCCGCTCTCCCCGGCGACAAGTTTTACGCTTCCGCGTCCAAGGGGGCTGCGTGTCGCTGCCTCGGCTTCGTCTTTCACTATGGCTTGAAGCTCGGCTCTCGGAAGAGCGTCGTCAGGGATCGATGTGCTTGCCGCGGCCAGCCACAGCCCGATGTCTTATGAGTCCCCCAGCGAAGCAGCACCGTCGATGCGTTCGAGTGCGTATGTCTTCAGGACCTCCTGCAGGCGGGCTGGTCGCCTGCCGCTGGTATGTTCAAGATGGACAGGTCGTTGGCGTGGACAAGGCGCAGGTTCTCCAACATGAGAGTTCCAGGCCGACACTGGAGATGCAGCTGTGGCAGGGGGCAGCAGAAGTGTTGTGTGGAAGTGGGCTTGATGGCGGAATTGGCCTTCAGAGCTTGCAAGGTTTGGCGGCGAGCAGGGGGGAAATGAGAAGGAAAAGGCATTCTCAGAAGGCGTCAGGACTTCTCAGAAGCCCTCGCGCATTCTGAGAAGTTGTTTGCTGCAGTCGGGGAAGGCTTAGAAAACGTCTCTCAGAAGGCCCGGGGACGTCCGAGACTTCTGAGAAGGCCCGCCCCTTTTGACTTCCCCCCTCGCTCGCCGCCGAAAGTACATCGCCGATCTTCTGAAAACGTGGCCAAGCCGTCAATTGTCGGAGCTCGTGGTCATGTTCTGGACCTGACAGCGACGGCACGCAGCAAAGTTGTGTCAAGACGAGTTGTGCAAGCGATGCGGCGAGAGTGGAGACACTCCGCTGCACCGACGTTGGACTCGTCCCAAAGGCGCGGGGTTCAGAGTCTGCTCGGATTGGGACAAGCTCGTCCATGAGGCTGCCGCCGAGCAGCCCCCGCGGTCTGGACGGCCGTGGACCCGCCAGCCTCAATAAGCTCGCGGGCAGGAAACAACTCGCTCGGGGAGCACACGGGCCATGGGTCTTGTTGTTGGCACCGTTGGAGCCCCTTTGGCGATCTTCGGGGATTCGTCTGGGGGTACTGGTACACACGACTCTAGACTTAGGCACAGGCTTCGTCTGGCTACGGCCCCATCTGTTTGGGCCCTTCAGCGGCCCTGCCAAGAGCGTTCCTCGTGGTGAGCTATCGGCGCTCGAGTGGGCCAGTCGTTTCCTGGCAGATTGTCGTAATGTACGTGACCGACTGTGTCGAGGCGGCCAGGGGGGTGGTGTGCCCAGGCCTTGAGGAGCCTGCAGGGTTGCAGTCTATCGGTTCGCTGCTCGAGGCCCAGAATCTTTCACTTGCCCACATCGTCGAGCTTCAGATGCCTTCTCAGCTCAATGGCGAGGAAGTTGTTGCCCGTGAGTGGCCAAGCTTCCTGATCCCAAGTAACGCCTGTCTCGACGCGTTGGCTGGTGAGGCCGCCGAGCGAGTAGCAGTCGCTCTGCGGTTGTCCGGGAGCTTCTGTATATGTAGACATACATGGATGTATGGCTAGGCGTATATATATATATATACATGTACATACATATGTACATATTAGTGTAAGTACGTATACATATACATATAAGAAGGGGCGCGCGCGGGGGAGGCGGTGGTGCGGCGGGTGAGGATGAGGAGGATCAGGATCAAAAGGGCGAGGCTCGCGAGGGGGAGAATCAGGAGAGTGAGAGTCACGCGGCCCAGGAGCAGGCGAGCGTGGAGCAGGAGCGCGAGGATGTGGAGAATGAGGCCAGGAGAGCGAGGATCAAGGAAATGAAGATCAGCAAGTGGTGAGGATCGGGCGAGTTTGGACCTGGACCACCTCTCGGACGACATCTGTGAGGCCAGCATTGCGAGGAGCTATAGTATCCCTCCTCATCCTCCTTCTCCCTATGCCCCTGCCCCTGGCCTCCTTCGCCTCATCCTGCCCCTCCTGCCTCCTGCTCCTGCCTCCTGCGTCTGCCTCCTCCTCCTCCTCATCCTCCTCCGCCGCCGCCTCCGCTTCCGCCTCCGCCTCCTCCCCCTCCTTCTGGACATGCTTAATAGTACGCGTAGCTTCCATAGTCTTTTTCCTATTATTCGTAATATCCATAGAATCGGAGTTGCTATGGTTGTTAGTAGCCGTGCGAATAGCATTAGTAGTACTGCAATTGAAAGATTACTATTAGTAGATGGGTAGTATTAGTAAGTATAAGTATGACTGTTAATGTTAAAAGCAGTGCTGGCATTGTTATTATTACGAACAATATTCGTACTAGCATACGTATTCTTAGTGGTCGGTGTACGCGTAGGTTCAGTATTATTCTTATTGGTTGTTCGGAGTATCGTTCGCCTTCGCAACGGTATGCCTACTAGGCTTGGAAGTATTGTCCGTAGTAGTAGTAGTAATAGTATGATTCTGACTGTTCTTAATAGTATTACTAGTATTAATCGTGGTCGTATGGTAATGCTTGTTCTTAGTGTTAATATCAATAATCGCCTTACCCCGGGTAGTTTTGTAATAGTAGTCGTCTTAATCGTCTTCTTCATAAAAGTAGTAGAATCGTAATGTCGGGGATGGACAGACCCCCCTTTAGTAAAACGTGGTTTAGTGAAAACGAGGCGCAAACCTGGAAAATAACGGCCACGGCGCCCTCTCGAGAACCGAATACGGACAATTCACTAATCGACGTGTCACTGCTGGGGTTCTGTCCACCCCCGATAATGCCAGTATTAGTAGTGGTGGCATTCGTATGAGTAGAAGTACTGGTCTTAGTAATGTTGTTAACCTCATGATTCGCACTATTCTTCTATTACTATGAATCATGTTCATACTACGCTGACTACTCTGCTGATACGTATTAGCATGCATATGTGTGTTAGTAGTGTTGTCTCGTGATGTGTTATTACTGGTAGTGTTCGTATTAGTGTGTTTTGTATTATACTTAGCACTATCATCCTTAGTAGTACCAGCATTACCAATCGTATCAATATTGCGATTATTGGTATTATTCCGCCCCCTCCTCCTCTCCTCTCCGCCTCCTCCTCATCCTCCTCCTCCTACTCCTCCTCCTCCGCCTCCTCTTCCTCCTGCTCCTCCGCCTCCTCCTCCTCCTCCTCCTCCTCCTCCTGCGCCTCCTCTCCTCCTGTTCCTCCTCCTCATTCTCCTCCTCCTCCTCCTGCTGGGCGCCCCCCCCCATGTTTACGTGTTCTCTCTCCCCTGTCTTCCTTTTACAGGCGTTGAACCACCTCCTCCTGCTCCTCCTCTCCTCCTCCTCCTCCTCCTCCTCCTCCTCCTCATCCTCCTCCTCCTCTCTCCTCCTCCTCATCCTCCTCCTCCACCTCTCTCTCTCCTCATCCCCTCATCCCTCCTCCTCCTTCTCCTCCTCCTCATTTTCTTCCTCCTCCTCATCTCCTCCTCCTCTCCTCCTCCTCCTCTCCTCCTCCTCCTCCTCATCCTCCTCCTCACTCTCCTGCTTCCTGCTCCTGCTCCTGCTCCTCCTCCTCCTCCTCCTCCTCGTCCTCCTCCTCAGCATCATCCAGCAGCATCATCATCATCTCATCATCATCATCATCATCATCATCATCATCATCATCATCACCATCATCATCATCAGCATCAGCATCAGCATCATCATCATCATCATCATCAGCATCAGCATCATCATCATCATCATCATCATCATCATCATCATCATCATCATCATCATCATCATCATCATCATCATCATCAATCATCATCATCATCATCATCATCATCATCACATCATCATCGTCATCATCATCATCATCAGCAGCATCATCAGCCTCATCATCATCATCATCAATCATCATCAGCATCAGCAGCATCAGCATCATCGTCATCATCATCATCAGCATCATCATCATCATCAGCATCATCAGCATCATCAGCATCAGCATCATCATCATCAGCAGCATCAGCATCAGCATCAGCATCATCATCATCATCATCATCAGCAGCATCATCATTATCATCATCCTCCTCCTCCTCCTCATCATCATCAGCATCGTCCTCATCATCATCATCATCATCATCATCATCATCATCATCAGCACCATCATCATCACCACCATCATCATCATCATCATCATCATCATCATCCTCATCATCATCAGCATCATCAGCATCATCATCATCATCATCATCATCATCAGCAACATCAGCATCAGCATCAGCTTCATCATCATCATCATCAGCACCATCATCATCAGCATCATCATCATCATCGTAATCAGCATCATCATCTTCATCAGCATCATCAGCATCAGCATCAGCATCAGCATCAGCATCATCATCAGCAGCATCATCAGCAGCATCAGCAGCAGCAGCAGTAGCATCAGCATCAGCATCAACATCATCATCATCATCATCATCATCATCATCATCATCATCATCCAAATCAGCACCATCATTATCGTCATCGTCAGCATCATCATCAGAATCATCATCATCATCAGCAGCATCAGCATCAGCACCATCATCAGCAGCATCATCAGCAGCATCAGCAGCAGCAGCAGTAGCATCAGCATCAGCATCAACATCATTATTACTATTTAAATTAGCACCATTATCATCGTCATCGTCAGCATCATCATCAGAGTCATCATCATCATCATCATCATCATCATCATCATCATCATCATCATCATCATCAGCGGCATGATCATCAGCATCAGCATCAGCATCAGCATCATCATCAGCAGCATCATCAGCAGCATCAGCAGCAGCAGCAGTAGCATCAGCATCAGCATCAACACCATTATTATTACTTAAATTAGCACCATTATCATCGTCATCGTCAGCATCATTATCATCATCATCATCAGCAGCATCAGCATCATCAGCATCAGTATCATCATCATCAGCAGCATCATCAGTAGCATCATCATCAGCAGAATCATTGTCAACAGCATCATCATCAGCAGCATCATCATCATCGTCATCATCAGCATAGTCATCATCAGCATCGTCATCATCAACAACATCATCATCATCAGCATCATCAGCATCATCATCGTCATCATCATCAGCATCAGCATCATCATCATCATCAGCAGCAGCATCAGCATCATCTTCTTCTACCTCCTCCAACTGCTGGGAGCCTCCGTCGGCGCGCGATCCGGCGACCTTGCGAGGAGGTCTCGAACGAAAGCCCTAGACTGGGACACGCCCAGCGCGCCTCCCCCCTGGAAACCGGCCTCCCTAACCGTAAGGGGACCACCCCCCCAACAAGGGGGGGGGTCGAACCAGGGGGGCTCCCCCCCCTCCGAATTTCAAAGGGTGAGAGGGTTTCGAACTAGGGGGAAAACCGACTCTGTTACCCCGCCGGATAGCCCCCCCTGCAATTGACTCAATTGAGGGAGGTCCCCAAATGCAGTTCTCTACGAGCTGCGAACACCATGTGGGAACCTCCGCAACTCCACGTCCAACTACGGGAGGTCCCCAGAGGCCGCCAAGACTGTGGTTCTGGAAGTCTCTGGGGACCTCCCGTACTTGCAGCCAATTACGCGAGGTCCCCAGATGCCGCAAGGAGTTTGGTTCTGGGAGCCTCTAGGGACGTCCGGTAATTAAAGCAAACTACGGGAGGCCCCATCCCCAGAGGCCGCCAGGACTGTGGTTCTGGGAGCCTGTGGGGACCTCCCGCAATTCCACGTCCGATTACGGGAGGTCTCCAGCGGCCGCCAGAGCTGTGGCTCTGGGAGCCCACGCTGTTGCAAGTGAAGCCAAATGCGGGAGGTCCCCACAGGCCTCCAGGACTCTGGTCTGGGAGCCAATGCCGACCTCCCTTACTTACTTAAAACCAAAAACGGGAGGTCACCAGAGGCCGCCAGCACTGTGGTTCTGGGGGCCTCTGGGGGCCTGCCGCAATCCCACATCCATGTACAGGAGGCCCCCAGAGGCCGTCAGGACTGTTTTCTGGGAGCCTGTGGGTACCTCTTGTGACTCAAGCAAGTTACGCAAGGCTCTCAGAGGCCGCCAGGACTGTGGTGCTGGGAGCCTCTGGCGACCTCCCGCAATTGAAGCTAATTACGGGAGGTCCCCAGCGGCCGCCAGGACTGTGGTTCTGGGAGCCTCTGGGGACCTCCCGTAATTGAAGCAACTTAGTCGCCGTCGTCGTCGTCGCCGTTGTCGCCGTCGTCGCCGTCGCCGTCGCCGTTGCCGTCGCCGTCGCCGTCGTCGCCCTTGCCGTCGTTGCTTCCGTCACTGGCACCGTCGCCGTCGCCGTCGCCATCGCCACCGTCGCCGTCGTCGTGGCGTCGCCGTCGCCGTCGCCGTTGCCGTCGCCGTCGACGTCGCCGTCGCCGTCGCCAGTCGCCGTCGCCGTCGCCATTGCCTGCGCCATCCCCGTCGCCACCGTTGCCATCGCAGTCGCCGTCGCCGCCGTCACCGACGCCGTCGCCGTCGCCAATCACCGTCGCCGTCGCCGTCGCCGTTGGCCTTCGCCATCCCCGTCGCCGCCGTCGCCGTCGCCGTCGCCGTCGCCGCCGTCGCAGACGCCGTCGCCGTCGCCGTCGCCGTCGCCGTCGCCGTCGCCGGTCGCCGTCGCCAGCGCTGACGCTAGTGCTGGCGCTCGCCGTCGTCGGTTACAACGGGTGGTCGAGGAGGGGGGTCTTCCAGTTCCGATTCGAACCCCCCCCCCTTGGACAGAACGGGGGGCGCCCCCCCAAGTTCGACCCCCCCCTTGGACAAAGAGAGGGCCGCCCCCCGGTTCGAACCTGCATCTGGGACTAATTCCAACCGACCGGGACCAATCCCAACCAGCTGGTATTTTCTCCAACTAGCTCGACAATACAAACTGGCACGAATTCCAACTGGCCAAGTAACCTCACTGTATAAGTTTATGTGTAAGACGATGTCAGTATATCCCAGAACCAGATACTCTGCTTACGCATGCACATGTATTCCAGATGCTAGCATGATTACCCTGGTTGAGAGTTGTACCATGTGCGCCCAGGAATGTTACTGCGAAGGCTTAAGGGCATGGGGTCTTAAGGGCTTGAGGGCTTAAAAGCTTCAGGGCCTAAGAGCTTAAGGGCTTAAGGGCTTAAGGGCTTAAGGGCTTAAGGACTCATGGGCTTAAGGGCTGAAGGGCTCAAGGGTTCAAGGGCTTAAGGGCTCGAGGGTTAAAGTGCTCAAAGGTTTAAGTGGTTACGAAGTTAGAGACTCACGGTTTCAGGGTTTACTCAGAAGTGTAAGCGTTCACGTGCTTAATAGCTTGAGGGCTCAAGGGCTTGAATGAATTAAAAAGTTAAGAATTGAAGTGCTTAAGGACTCAAGGGCTTAAAGGGTTCAAGGGTTTCAGAACTTAAAGGTTTTAGAGCTTACGGGCCTAAGGGTGTAAAGATTTAGGACTCACGGGACTCAGGGCTTACGAGCTCAAGGGTTCAAGGCTTAAGGGTTTGAAGACTTACATACTCAAGGGCATAATGGTTTTAAGGGTTCAGAAGGACTAAGGGTAAAGTGCTTCAGGGTTCACGGGTTCAAAGGGTCTAAGGTTTTTAAGGGCATAAGGGCTTAAGGATGTAAGAGCGTAGCGCCTTAGGGGCTTGAAGGCTTAGGGATTGATCTTCATGGCTCGAGCTTCTAGCGCTTAGAAAGGTTGAGGGGCTCACGGATTTAAGAGCCCAAGGGTTTAAGGGATTAGGGCTCAAGGGCTTCAGGGTTTGAGGGATAGAGCCAGCGAGCGAGGGGGGAGGAGAGGAGGAGGAGGAGGAGGTGGAGGGGGCGAGGAGGAGGAGGAGGAGGAGAAGGAGGAGGAGGAGGAGGAGGGAGGGGAGAAGGAGGGGAGGAGGACGAGGAGGACGAGGAGGACGGAGCGGAGGAGGAGGAGGCGGAGGAGGGGAGGGGGAGGATACGGCGGAAGGGGAGGAGGAGGGGGAGGAGGAGGAGGAGGAGGAGAAGGAGGAGGAGGAGGAGGAGAGAGTGAATCAAGCGAATCTGAAATTGGAGCAAACTCACTCGAATCCCGCGAGCAGGGGGAAAAGACTCCCGCGAACCAGACAGCACCTGGCGAGCACGACGCCTCTAAGACGACTGCGGGGTTTCTCATGGAGGTCGGTTGGGATGTGCACTAAAGTTGCTCGAACTAGTACCAGAATGGTTGGAATTCGTACCACAAGGGTGTTGGCATTGGTTTCAGTTTTGGTTGCAACTTGCCGCATGTCCGTTCGAGCCCCCCCCCCCGTGCAATTCAGGGGGGGGCCCCCCCCCGTTCGACCCCCCCTCCCCCCGCTGCATCAAGGGGGGGGCGGGGGGGGGGCGTCCTCAGCGTCCACAGAAAGCGCTCCTTCTGAACCTCGGGTATGGCTTAATGGGGGGGTCACAAATGCGGGGGTCAGAAAAGGTCCCCTTTCGTGCCCCTTTCGGGCCCCTCCAGCGCCCCAGGGGGCTCATGTAGGTACCGTTGGGGTACCTTTTCGGACCACCCTTGCCGCCCCCCCATGTATGACCCCCCCATTACGCGGCGCCCAAGAACCACGCACCGCCACCCTCCCCCGGAGGCCCAGGAACAAACCATTGGAGGGCGTCCGTGTGTGCTTCCTGCGGCGGAGGGAGGAGGCCGCTCGGAGGGCAGGGCCCCACGCAGAACCCGAGCGGGGGCAGCGGGCGCTCCCCGCGGCGCCGAGAGGGGAGCCGCCGCGCCGCCAGGGGCGCGGACCAGCGCCTCCGTGCGCGCCGAGTCTTGACATCACTGGCTGGCGCAACGGGGCGAGCACGCAAACTTTTTTTCGTCGGCGGCGAGGCAGAGGTCACTGCACCAGCGGTCGGGCTACACGGGGCCACCGAAGAGCGAACTGCCCAGCGTGCAAGACGAGAGACAGAGACGGACAGGGCGGCCGCGGAGGCGGAGGGAGGGGGGGGGGCACTCAGGGGCGGAAGGCTTGAGAAAAGCGAGCACGCAAGCACAGGGGCGCGGGCACCTGTGCGAGCACGTCGAGAAAACCGCGCGCACGCCACACCCATGTAGGTAGCGGGCCAGGTGCTGGGGCGCAGACGCCCACCTGCTCTCTCCCGCTCGCGGCGTCGAACCCGAGCCTCGCTCGGCGAGCTTGGTGCGTGCTCCTGCCTGACTACCTACCAAACCACCCCAACCCAACCCGAAAACCTGAATTTCGGGTTGGGGGGGTACGGGCTTCATGTGTGTTTTCTCCACGTTCCCCGACCCCCCCCAACTGGAAATGGAGGGCAAATTGGGGCCTTCGGGTTGGGTTGGGGTGGTTTGGTGGGCGGTGACTGCCTGCTCGCATGCAGGACGCATCCCTCGCTGATGCCCGAGCAGCCCAGCCCCGAACCAAGAATGATGGCCACGAGCACGTCCTGGAAGGCCTTCATCTTGGACAGGAACATGATCAGAATCACCTCGCAACCGCCACGGCACCCTCAACGCACACAAGACCCTGGTGCCGCGCATCTTCTAAGCCTTGTTCTCACTCTCACGTTCACTCGCACGTGTAGCCTTGCTCTCGGTCCCACTACTCGTACTTTCCTGCCTCTCTCCGGCCAAATCCACCCCTGCCTGCATTCAGACGCTCCTCTGCTCGCACCTCCAGGCATGTACCCGGTCTCTTCATGTCACACATTCGTCCAAGTCCTCATCGGTCCATCTTCTCCGCTCTGACCTGAGTGTTTCGAAGCTCTGCCAACATCCGATCAGGCTTGCTCGACCTGCCGCCGACAAACCTCCTACGCAGCGTTTTGGCTCACCTTGCCATCGCTCGGACGAGCATTCCCAGTGCATGGTGTGGTGTCGTTCGTATGTGCGCTGTTTGGAAAGATAGTCCTAAATACTCCAAGATGGTGAGGACTCGCCGAGAAAAATGCACACGGCCGAGCGATGCCAAATCACGATTCAAGCAACCTGGAGATCTCGATCCCGTCCCCAGCACCAGCTTTTCGCCGCGAGCCGTTCCTTCACGATCCCAGCTGCACAAAAGCGGACCCAAAAGGTGCCGGACATTCAGTTTGATCGACTCCTGCAGGTCCAGGGCTCACTGCCGCAAGCGCGAGGCCGTCGTTCACACATATCCACACTATTTGGGAAACCGATCTCTCAGGACCCTCCAAGCCTCGTCAAAAATTCGCCGGCCCAACGGGCCAGGGCGTGCTAAGATCTCCGGTACCTGGTTAACAGTATTTCTAGTTTGCGCGCGCGGGGCGGCCCCTGGGGGTCCCCGGACGAAAAGTACCCCGGCAAGGTCCCGGCAAGGTCGGGCCAGAGATGCCGGAGCCCTGTTACAGGGCCCCAGGACGGGCCAAGAGGTCCCCAAGAAGCCTCCAAGACGGTCCAAGAGGGCCCCGAGACGGCCAAAGATCGCCCGAAGACGCCCAACAGGGCCCCAAGACAGCCCAAGAGGCCTCCAAGACGCCCCAAGGGCCTTCCAAGAGGCCTCCGAAGAGGGCCCCAAGAGGCCAAAATCGTTGATTTTCATTGTTTTTTTCTATGTTTTTTGCGTTCTGGCTTTTTCGGCTTCCGGACGCTCCAAGACGGCCCAAGAGGCCCCCAAGACCGCTCCAAGACGGCCCACGAGGCTCCCAAGACGGCCCCGGAACGGCCCAGGAGGGCCCCCAAGACGGCCCAAGTGCCGCCCAAGACGGACCAAGAGGCCCCAAGACGGGCCCAAGAGGGGCTCAAGAGGGGAACCGAGAACTGAAAAATCGAGCCCTCCGCCCCAGAAGGCGCCCAGGAGGCCCCAAAAAGGCCCCAAGAGGCCCCCAAGAGGCCCCCAAGACGCCCCAAGAGGCGCCCAAGAGGCCCAAAAGAGGCCCCAAGAGGCCCCAAAACGGCCCCCAAGAGGCCCCAAAACTCGGCTAGCCCACAACGGTGCGACAATATGGGCCGGCGGAATGAGCGAAGCGATTAATAAATAGAAGACTTCTGAATTCGGTGATTCTGGGGTCAGCGCTACTCCAATGCTGACGGATGCCCGTTGACTCGGACGCGGCGTTGTTACAAAACCGACCCCACCCTCTCAGCACTGAAGAACGCGCTTTCTGACAAGTGCCCGAAAGCATCGTGCTCCAGGATTTCAATTTCAATTTCTGAGTCTTGTAGGAGACGGTGGAGGCTTGTAGGAGACGCGTGTGCGGACGTCTGCGTCTGCGTGTTCCTTTCCAGGATTTTGCGCCCCCCCTCTCCGTGGCCGCACCCGTGGGCGTCCGCGGGAGGCTCGCGGGCCGCGCCGGGCAGCGTCCAGGCGGAGCGCGGGGAAGCGCATGCAGACGCAGACGCACACGCAGACGAGACGGAGACGCGTGTGCCTTTTCCAGGATTTTGACGAGGCTTGTAGGAGACGGTGGATATGGATATCTTGGACCCCAGGGCGGTGTGCTCGTGCCAGCGAGAGCTTGGACTTGCGCCGGCCGAGCGGTCGCCGCAGGCTCGACAGACCGAAGAACCCTCCCTCCCTCCTCCTCCTCCTTCTCCTCCTCCTCATCCTCCTCCTCCTCCGACTCCGACTCCGACTCCGACTTCGACTCCGACTCCGACTCCGACTCCGACTCCGACTCCAACTCCGACTCCGACTCCCTCCCTCCCTCCCTCCCTCCCTCCCTCCCTCCATCTCCTCCTCCTCCTCCTCCTCCTCC